TTTAATTTGGAAGATATTTTTAAAAAGAACGTTTTTGCAATTTTTGAAAAATGTGACAAGTGTCACACTCTCATGGAGCCACTTGTTGACATTGTGGTGGAACCATTTAGAGGCTTAATCTCTTGACACATGGAGGGTGGAAATTCACCCATTTGTTGGCCTAGGATAGGAGCACTTGTTGGCATGGATGGTTGACAAGTGTAGGCTTAATATTAAGTCTTGGAAGTTTACTTAGGATGGTGACAAGTGTAGGCACCATACTTAGTCTTGCATTGTGTGTGTGTGTGAGGTAGTGCAAGAGCACCTAGTGAGTGGAGGATCCCATCACATTTAGCTTAGGGTTTACACCTTATTTTCATTTCATCTTTTTCCTCTCAAGCCCTAACTTAGTCACCATTGGAGCAAAGCTTGACTTAGAGCTTTGACTTCATTTTTGGCCTCCTTCCACTCACCTTAGACCCTTAAGCTTGGAATACTTTAGTTCCCTCTCACTCTCCTCTACAAAACCCTTGTTTGATTTTTCATTTTTAAGCTTAGTTGCCTTGGATTATAAAGATTCAATTCTCTATTAAGGTAGGGGGTGTTCTAGTTTATTATTTAAGTGAATAAATTGCTTTTATAGTGATATTCAAGTTGTTTGCATGACTCTTACTAATTTGAGAAATTATAATTAATACTAGTTTGCATATAACATACTTTAGGCTTGGTATATGACATGGCTATGGCTTAAATCTTTGTTGTATATTGAATTAACATGAATTAAATGAGCTTTTAAATATAGAGAATTAATTAATTTAAATTGATTTAAATTCTACTTAATTGTACCATGCTTGTATTCCATTTTAGACTCTATATATGGCATGGCAATGACGTAGTTCTTATTATATATTCATTTGGGATTATTTGAGTAACTCTTGAAATCTAGAGAAATTTATTAATTAGTTTAATTAATTTCTATTTCATTGTTCTAATGATTTAGTCATTTATTTCATGGAGCTTTTGTCTTTGTAACATATATCATGACTTGTTGCTCAACTTGTTGATTTTGGAAACTTGGAATATTATCAAGAACATGACTTAGCTAGGACTTGGTTTTAGTACGGGAGATAGAGAACTCCCTACACTATAGTGCGCATTAGGGGAAGGTACCCATGGGTTAATAGCCCTAAAGTGATCCCAAGAATATGGTTTTAATTAGGGCAATATCCAAGTATCCACTTTGGTTTGATTTCGCATTTAAATTCCAAGTTGATAACCCTGTGAGTTTGCATCTTGTTTCATTGTGTTAAAAGTTTCAATGTCGGTTAACCGCTTTAGATTAAATGGTATTGAATTGCAAGTCATATTAAGTTAAGCTTATGCATACTCATTCTCTATGAGTGAACTTGTTTACTCACCCCAAAGTTACCGAGTTATTTGTCAGGTAAAGAAGCATTATTGTGGGATACACAACACTCTTAGACTTGCTTGACTACTTGGAGTATTTTTGTTATATTAGAATATGCACTTGTTAGCATATTATGTTTTATTTTGGTTATTATGTCAAAACATGTATTTATTGTTCAAACTATGCAATGTGCACTTAAGTGCACCTTTTGATACTCTACGGATGTATGTGTAATGAGGCCAAGGGTCTAGCATGTTTACATTAGTACTTATGCTCACTTGGTACTATATTTTGCTTTAAAAGTGTATTTTAATCAACTTTGGAGGTTTGGCATATGAAATTCTTGTAATTGACATGTATGAGGCCGTAAGCCATTGTATTACATTCAAATATTTATATTATGCTTGTTGACATGTTCATACGCTCAATCTTCCTTAATAAGAATCAGTTTTTGACCTATGCATATGGGTAGAATGAATCCTATAGGTCTTATTGCAAATCTCACATGTTTAGTAGAGCTTTCAGCAGGATTCGAGGTGTTTTGGTCGACCGAAACATCATTTCGGTCGACCGGTGCCTTTTTAAAATCAATTGAACAGTAAAAACATACATTCTAGTAGCCAAAATCACTGTTTGGGCTCCTTTCGGTCGACCGATGCCTTATTTCGGTCTACCGAAGTGACCTTCCCTTAAAAACCAGCTTTCGGGAAAGTTTTTGTCCATTTCGGTCAACCGAAATAGCTTTCATACACCAGCCTCCCAGATTTTGTTTCAACATTATTGTTCCGATTTCAAACGGTCATAACTTCTTCATTTCTAATCCAAATGAGGTGATTCTTGAGCCTAAACTCAAGGATTTTGAGTCAGATTTCTAATGGTACCAATGCAATTCTCATATTCAAATTATAGTGAGAGTTATTCATATTTTAGTGAGATGGTGTCAATTTTCGCTTTAACCGGGAAATGGCATTTTGTAGGATTCTTGGCCAAAGTCCTTAGAACTTCTTGGAATATTATGAAATGATTATTTTAGATTGTTTAGACCTCATTTGAATTGCTTAGAGTTAAATTTCCCTTCTTGTTTGTAAATTGACCATTTTGCCCCTTTTACTAACAGATTTTACCCGTTTGACTCTCGATTACTCTTTCGTTCTCTTTAAGTTTCGTGACTTCATGGAAGGCCACATTGGTGTCTTAGGGATGATTTATATCCCTAGAGACCTTGGTTTATCTTTCGCTTTTGTATTTTGGATCCGTTACCGGGTCAACTTTCGGGTCATCATTGACGCACCAGGTTGAATAAAACTCGGGTCATTACTTATTCTCATACTGATTGATCTAAATGTGAAAAGGTTCGATCCTAGGAACTTAATAGTCCAAAAGTTTAATAAAAATATCATTTTACTTTATATACATAATAAAATATATTATTTTTATTTTCAGACTCGGATGCCACAATTGAATCAATTTAAAATTGATTCTCTATAATGTATATATGTATGGGTACAAAATAATTATTTATTAAATTTCTAAGCTCACAAATTATTCTAGAAATTCAAATTCCTAAAATAAATAAATTAGTACATATATTTTATGTATTTAATAACTTTAATTTTAATTTATTTTAAATTAAAATCAGAATCTTCAAATCATTGGACAAATATTTTTAACAATAATTTAAATTTCTTCAATAAAATAAATAAATACACAAACTTTATGTATTTATTAATTTTCAAATAATAATAATAATGATTTGTAATTGGTGGACAACCACTGAGTTTCTTTAAAGCAATAGCAAACAAATGTTGTTGACTTTTCAATCCCATGTTCTATTCTAATCATGCATGGATACAGAAGGCAAAAACATTAATAGATTCATCTTGTTTGTCTTATTATACATATGTATGTATAAGGCGTAAGACTTAGTTAACTTTCTGGCAATTTATTTAGGCTCGAAATTTAATGTATGTAAACCAAATAAATGACCAAACTGATCAAAACATAGGAACCCACAAATTGATCAAAAACACATACAGCACGGATTCCAAATGAATATATTATGCAATCATTTAATTTTATTTTTATTTAAACATATTATTTACGCAACGTTAAAGGAAAACAATAAATTCATAAACCGTAAGCTCTGATACCATACGTAAAATTTAATAATTCGTGAAAATCATTAATCACAAATTTACATGAATCCTATATCTTAGAACTTCATAATTTTCACATATACATAATGCAGAAATAAGTAGTTGATATAAATACTTTGATCTGTAATTGTAAAACTTGAAGAGATCAGAGCAAGCGTCGAGATCCTTACTGCAGAACGAACAACATGCTAAACTGCAATAGTCAAAGCGTGGAAACCAATTTCTCTCTCTTGACCTTTTGCACAGATAAATATTATACGTGTTGTTTTCATTAGCGTACATAACTGAAGGATAATATGCACCTTATAAAGGCAGAGAGATGATCAATTTTCTTTTTTAGTAACCTTAATTTCACTTTCCATCAAAGTAAAGAATAAATAGGAAAACACTTTTATAATAATTAATTACCAAAAAGATAATTGATAAGTTGACCAAATAATATAATATTAATCTGATATCTATTTTATTTAACCACCAAATAATAGAAGTAAATCACGTGTCCAAATCATGTGGGTTACAAAAATAAAAAAATATCTTACATCCAAAACAAACTAGATCTTTGTTTGTTACAGAGTCCCACGTATTGTTTGCTATTTGTTTGTAGAAGGGATAGAATTGTATTAATAAAAAATACAAAATGATTAAATTGTCTACAAGAAAATTAGTTACCTAAACCCCCCCAAAATTTTATTTATTTATTTTTTTTTTAAGTATAGGTATATTAGTCCAATGTTTAAAAAAAAAAAAAATTAGTAGTAGTATTAACCCTCCAATTTTAACACATCCAAACAAGCTCAATATCTAAGCCACAATTTTAAAACAAAGGCCCAACTAAATATGCTCAAGCCAAATAAGCCCTAAACAATCACTAAGTCAAAGTAAAGAGAACTCCTAAATTCCTAAACTTGCACAAATCAGAAAGTTCACTCTTTCTCTCCCTCTAAAGTCTAATCCTATTTCCTCTAAAATTTTTCAATTCTTTAATTTTTCGATCCCCAATTCCCCCTTGTTTAATATTAGCCCCCATTAACAATTCCTAGATTCGCCCTTGCCTAAAAACGTGGATTTCTACCCGTACAGCAGTTTTAAAAGTTATGATTCTTAACTTCAATTAAACACACTTTTTAGACCTAACCTCTATCATCTTTAACAAAAATTATTTTATTTTATTTTTTTTCACCAAATACATTGCACCACAATTTTTTAAAATGGAAGTGCTCTGTAGTGTAGAGAAATACTCCAAAACACCCACTTAATGCAATTTTGAGTATTGAAAAACGTGAGTTTTCTAGATTTCATCCGACTGCATGACCTTTTGCTGAAGCATTGAATTGTATGAAAAAACACCTTATAGATTCTTCCTTTCGACTAACGTCAACCATTTTATAATGGCTGTATAATTTCACTCTGTATAAGTTCTAAGTGAGATAAAGAGTCTGGAGTCTCTCTTCAAAAAATTATGAGAGATATTCGTCGAATAAAAATAGAAAAAGAAAAGAAATATAATAATTGCCTTTTAAATTTTCAATTCAATTACATTATTCAGCTACTCCAATAAATAGGGTTTAACAATAAAAGTGAAATTAAAAAATAATAATAAAAAAAAAAGAGATTTCTAGGAAGCAAAAAATATTTGGGTAAAAAAACAGAGCCTAAAATTTTTTAGTAGAACCAAAGCTGTACGTTCTTGTACCAAAAACTAGTTTAGTTTCTCAGCTTTAAAACAGATTTAGACTACAATTTAAACTTTACAGGAAAGAGATCTTGCTGATGATTATAACCGTTAGTACATACCTGAGACCAAAATTCAAATTTTGGCCAACAGTCCTTTGCCCAAGACACTACTCTGTAATTCCAGAAGATGAAAAGCTCATTTCTCTGTTGAAATCTTGCAATCGAACCTCTGAAATCTCTCAAATTCAAAGCTTAATGATAAAGACTGGTCTTGACCTCATACCTTTTCCATTGAGCAAGCTTCTAGCATCTTCTATACTGGACATAGAATATGCAGCCTCAATCTTCAAGCATATACAAAATCCTAATCTTTTCATGTTCAATACTATGCTCAGAGGCTATTCAATTAGTGATGACCCAAAACAAGCTTTTGTTCTCTTCAATTACATGAGAGCTCAAAATGTTTTGCTAGACCAGTTCTCTTTCGTATCGACCCTCAAATCTTGTGCGCGTGTATCAGCCATTTGGACCGGTTTGGGGATTCACTCGGTGGTTCTCCGATCTGGGTATGATATTTTTCTCAATGTAAAGAATACCCTTCTGCATTTTTATTGTGTTTGTGGGAAAATTGGAGATGCCCGCCATGTGTTTGATGAATTGTCTCAAGAACGGGATTTGGTTTCTTGGAATACTTTAATGGGTGGATATCTTCATGCGTCTCATCCTTCAATGGTTATAGATTTGTTCCAGCAACTGAACAAGGCCGGTCAGAGAATCGGTGTCACTACTGTCTTGAGTGCTTTATCGGCTTTTGGTGATTTAGGAAATGTGTTGGGAGGAAAATCTGTTCATGGGTATTGCATCAAGAGTGGTTTTTGTTTATATTTGAATGTGGTTACTGCTTTAATTGGGATGTATGGGAATACTGGTAACCTCGATTCAGGACGAAGAGTGTTCAATGAAGTTACTGGGAAGGATGTTGTCTTGTGGAACTGTCTCATAGACAAGTATGCTAAAATTGGCCTACTAGAAGAGTCAATTGCTTTAATACAGTTGATGAAAGTTGACCAAGTGAAACCCAATTCCTCCACATTGATAGGATTGCTTTTGGGTTGTGCTGCATCTGGTTCTTTGGCTCTAGGTCGACGAGTACACAAGTACATAGAGGGCGAGCACATAGTGTTGGATGCTGTTCTGGGCACAGGTCTGGTTGATATGTACTCCAAATGTGGGTTGCTGGAGAAGGCCACAGATGTTTTTGATAGGATACAGAACAAAGATGTGAAATTGTGGACAGCCATGATTTCGGGTTTTGGGTTCCATGGGCAGGCAAAAAATGCCATTAAGCTCTTTCATAGGATGGAAGAGGAGGGATTTATACCTAATGAAATAACTTTGTTGGTAGTTTTAAGTGCTTGTAGCCATGGAGGGCTTGTGACTGAGGGATCAAGCTGTTTCGAGAGGATGGTACGAAAGTATGGCTTGACACCTAAGGTTGAACACTACGGATGTGTGATTGATCTCTTGGGTCGTGCAGGCTTGCTAGAGGAAGCGTATCAACTAATCAAGAGCTTGCCTATTAAGGGTGATGCCACTGCATGGCGTGCATTACTCGCAGGATGCAGAGTCCATGGAAATGTGGGCTTGGGGGAGTGTGTGAAGAGAGTACTGGAGGAAATCTTTGATGAACACCCTGCTGATTCGATCATTCTTTCTAGTACTTATGCCATTGCAGGGAGGTTGCCAGATCAAGCAGGCATGGTGGAGACGTATAAAGAAAACATGACAAAAGAGGCTGAACATGTGCCTATTGGAGTGAAGGAAGCAGGATGCAGCGCAATCGAGTTAGGGAGTCAAGGATTGTGACAAAGTTTGGAACATGGGAATTTAGAAGACCTCACTATATGTATGCCACCGAAACATGCCTTACTTTATAAATTTAACTCAAACTTGCCTGTGTATGAGCTAGAACTGAATCCAACCGAACATTAGGGTTAAACCTGTGATTTCACTTGGTAGTTTTAGTGCTTATAGACATGTAGGGACTGGTGAACAAGGATTTGAGCTGTTTTGAGATGATGGGTTGAGAGTTTGGCTTATCACATGACTGAATGTATGATGATTTTTTGGGTTTCGCGCCTTGCCAGAGGAATCCGATAAACTAATCAAAACTCGCTGCTGTTGCTGCATGCAGAGCACATGGAAGTGTTGGTTTGAGGAAGTTTGTAACAGAGAATACTGGAGGGAAATCTATCATGAACTCCCTGCTGGTTCAACTACTCTTGCCATTGCAGGGAGTTGCCAGATTTTGTAAGTGTGCTTTGTGATGTAGGAGAAAACCTGATCAAAGAAGCCGAACGAATGTTGGACTGAAATTGTGGGTAAAAAGATGATTGAAAAAGCCCCATGTAGACTAACGGGCCAGTGACCTAGCGGTATCAGTTTCTTGCCTCCCAAAGGAAAGTAAGGGGTTCAAGTTTCAGAAGAGACGTGTGTGTGAGTACCAACTAGGACAAAAAAAAAGAAAAAAACTCATGTAGCACAATGTATGTAGTTGGAGAGTTAGGGTTAGAAGTTAGAACAGAGTTCTAAACATCGAAGTTCAAAATAATTAAGTGTATGCGACATGAAATATGCATGTTTCTAGAACTCTAATTTAGCTTCATCCCAAATCAAAATTAAATTATACATAAATCATCTCTATTAAAAAAACATATAGAAATGAAGGCCAGTTTTTCAGCTTTGCTTTGTTTCCTCCTTTTTAGTTCGTATTACTGTGCTCACAAATATATATATATATATATATATATATATATATATATATATCATATCTGTCTCTCTCCTTGCACAATTGATCAAGTTGAATCTTTGTTAAAATTGACACTTGATTTTTTTTTTTTTTTTTGCCTTTATGGTAAGAAAGTTAAGGATGTTCAGAGGGAGGGAACCATGCAAAGCTCAAAAAGCAACCCTGAGGCTCTGTTTGGGAGCTTCTTGAAAAAAAGTTGTTTGGTGAATGTATTTTTTAAAAAATTCTTTTGACTAAACACAATTTAACTTGACAATTTTATCCTTAATTATCATAAATGGTACAAAAATGGTAGCATAGTTGAATTAATCGGGATTTATCAAGAAAAAAAAATGAAAAAGATAATTAGAGTAATGGAGTGAAAATCAGAGATGATGGAGCAATAATTAATTGGCACATCAATGTTGTTCATACTTTTATTGTAGATACATTACTGACAAAGTGAAGATCCCCATTAATGACAAAGTGAAGATCAATGTATACATATTGATAAAAGTTGAAGAAAAAAAAAATTAAAAGGATGAGAGAAATTGTAGCAGTTTAGCATAATTATTCAGACTCAATTTTTTTAAAAAAAAAAATCTATTATATATATATATATATATATATATATATATATATATATTAAGAGTTAGAAAGGTTGTTAGAATGTTTGAACTTTTTTGGATGAGAGTTCAACTATCTTTATAACTCTTTTGCTCCTTTTTGAAATCAAATGGAAATCAATGGGAATATTATTCTGCAAATCCTCCACATCTTGGATTAAATGGAAATCAATAGGAATTTTTTTTTGCAAATCATCCACGTGTGTTCTTTCCTTTTAAAATAAGGATAAAATTGTAAATAAAAATTGTTACTTAAAATTAGCTAAACTTTCTTATAAATAAGTTCCAAAAACAAGTTTTCCGAGCTATGCTTGAACGGACTTTTTAGATCTTTGACATTGGTTGAAATTCCTTTTATTTTAGTTATCAAACAGTTATCAAACACTCATGTTTTGATAAAGGATTTTATTGACTTAGAAGCCATCAGAAAGCTCAGTCAATCAGACTCATAACCGACACAATATTTGTTGTTTAATTTGCTATATCAATCTTTATTACCAAGCAAAATTTCACATCAACTCAACAACATCTGTAAAGAACCTCAGCTGCGGCAGTAGAGAAGTCGATACCATCTTTTGCTTGGAATCCCCCTTACTTTGTCCATAAAGAAAAGATTTTCTTCCCCACCGAAATTAAATATTGCACATAAATTTCACATCCACTCAACAACTAGAAGTGAAATTAAATATTCTAAATTTACAATACTAAGAGTGAAATTAAATATTCCACATAAAGTAAATTTACATTACTAAAAGTGAAATTAAATATTGCATGTAAAAATAAATTTATGTTATTGCCTCAAATTTTAACTTTTTCATGCATATTTACATATTCCAGCCAGACAAATCATAGGTGGTAAGTTAAAGGATAAAAATCTAAACTGTTCTACTCTTAAGAATTGTCTTATTTCTCTAAATATGATTATATGTATACAAATATTTTTCCCTTTTTCATCATATCTTCCACTGTTATCGAAGATACAACACATTTGATTTTCACACAGAGTCGTAAATAGTAATTAATCAACATTCCTAAATTGACTAAATTTTAATTATTTTCAATTCTACACTCAACTCATATATTGTTTAATAGTGAAAAGCTACCAATTCTACCAAATTTAGAATTTTTTTAATAATTCTTTCATAGAGATAAAGAATACCATTATCAGGCATGGCTATGATATACGTTAGGTGTCAGCAATCTAATGGATATACGTTAGGTGTCAGCAATCTAATGGAGAATTCTGAAAATAAGTATTTTATTCATGTACTTAACTTCTAGCCTTTTTAACTTACTTTCCGAAAAAAAAAAAATTTCGAGCCTTTTCCAAGATTGTGAAACATTATAGAACACTATCATTAGTCAATACCAAAAAAAAATTCAAACTTACTTTTGGCACATCCAGTAATCAACATTTAGTGAATAAACCACCTAAATTCTTTAATTGTTTCATATTACTGTCTTTTATTTACTGTTACGAAATTTGTGTGTACACAGCAAAACACGTTCGTTAGACAAAATCACCAAAAATATTAACCTTTTAACACTTCTTCTAATCAGCATTGTGAATCTTAAGGTAGACTGATAAGTTTGTCTAAAAAAATGAATACTTGATCGTCTATTTTTGAACCCCGAAAAGTATCACGAGAATACTTTTTTAGCATGAGTATCACTAGGTTATACGGCCTTCAGTAACCTCAATGGGGCTGTTATTCTTATTGTATGGGATGTTACATTTATTGTAAGTACTAAATCAACTAAGTAGACATATTAATTAGAAAGTAAGCACAATTCTTAGAGTCCGTTATCACAACTAAGCATGCCTCTTAATATGACAGGGAGAATAAATAAATACAGATTAAAGGCTTGAAGACACTCTTGATTAGATAAAAAGTGCTTGGTGCAATAGGAAAAAAAAAAAAAAAAAATCTTAAAACATAGAGCACCTCTTTATTACAGAAAACTTGTTTTGTTTTATTTAATGAAAATGTATTTGGAAAATATATATAATTGTGCTAAACTTAATTTTTTTTTTTTTTTTTTTTCTAGTTGGGACTAGGACTGAGGTTCGAACTCCTGATCTTCCTTTGGGAAGTAGGAGTCTTGTATCGCTAGGTCACAGACCTATTGGTAATTGTGCTAAACTTAGACAGAGTCATAGTTAGTAAAATACGATACGAGAAAAATACGGATACGAAAACGTACGCATATAATTTGATATATATATTTTTAAAATACGTTTAAAAAAAAATGGAAATGTAAAAATACGAATACGAATACGTACGTGTATAATACGTTATATGCATTAAAAATTCGGGACCAAAAATTCGGTTATACACATATTATTATTTTCTAATATATCATATATTTGTAAGGACAATGAATAATATGTAACAAATAATAAAATAAATATATTACAATTAACACTATCACAATAATCTAACAGAAATAACCTATCTAAATATAATTAATCAATAACTATATGTCTATAACATGATCAATTTATCACAAAATTAATGCAAAAAATTCTAATTTAATTAATCAATTATGTTGCCTAAATTAAAAATAAAATGCATTTGTTTGAAGTACTTTCGAACAAATTTCAATATTTCTACCTTTTACCCCGATAAATATGATTTGACTATTGAAATACCTCCATGATAGTTGGACTTTTGTTCAACATTATCCTAAAATGCATAATTTTTTATTTTTTTTTTTCTTTGATAGGCTATATATATATATATATATATATATATATATATATATTTCTCTCTAGATTTTTTTTTTTTTTTTTTTTCCTCATAGCCTATATATTTATAATAAATGTATAACTGCATAAGTATATGGTGTGATATTTGTGAAAATATATTATATTCTACTAAAACATCTAGTAAATATGGTGATTTACAAACTTCCAAAATAATAATAATAATAATAATAATTATAAAGATACTAACAAAATTTAAAAGATATCATGAGGATACCAAAAATAACCTGGGCCGGGTACGATTCAAATTGCTAAGAGTGGGTCAGGCAAGAGCAACCGTTCTGGACCAAGTCCTCGATAGTCAAGCCCAGGACCGGGAAATCATGTTGGAAGCCCAATTTTAGATAAAAGGAATTAAGCCCATAATCAAGAAGAGCCCACAAGAACAGCCCAGTGCAGGGAGTTAGTTAGGAAGGTTCTAGAAGATCTGTAACAGTCCATAAATAGGTTGAAAATAGATGGAAAGGGGGTTGAAAAATCTTTGAAGTGTAGAATTACTCTTTCTAAATTGAGAGTGGAAATTTCTTGCATCTTCAATGGCACCGTCCGTGGGAAAAGATCAAGATTGATTCACGTTCGATCAAGATTGATTCGATCAAGACTGATTTGTGAAGAAAAGTTAGATCTCTGGGAGCTGGATTCAGGTCGGTGAGATTATGCTCTGTCTTGCAGAGATTTGGTTCTAGTTGATCTTTGGAGATTGGAATTAGATCTGAGAAATCTCGATCTGTTTATCGAGATCAGATTTGATGAGTTCACGGCAAGGATAGAATCAACAGATTATAGACCAGATCCAGTGGAAAGAGATTGGAATTCAGCTAGTTTAAGGCCAGATCTAATGCGTTCGCATTAACAACGATCAGATCCGATCAGGAATTCGCGGTTGATGACTCTACTCCGATCAGGAACGATGATAGGAGGTGAAAGTTCCAATCCACTGGAGAATGGCCAACAGACGAAGCTTGCTGAGTTGATGAGCATGATTGAGGCTCTGAGAAGAGAGAATGCAGAATTGGGAGCTGGAATGGAGCGTCGGGAAGCCCCGGTGATTCCACGACCACCTCCAGTAGGGGAAAGAGTCATGCAGCCTAACATTGTACACTAAGGCGAGCAAGAAGGCAACGATCGTGTGGATCTTCACCGCGAAGAGATCAGACTAGGCGATTTGCCACCAAATGCTCATCACGTGGAGGATCGAGAAGGATCTATCCATCTGGATCCGCATCATGAGCGGATCAGGCAAGAAGAAGCCATGGTATTCAATCCGTATCATGACAGGCTGAGGCAAAAAGAAGCTATGGAGTATGGTCGCAACAAGGCTACACCGTCATGGCAAAGGGAGTTAACAGAGGAACGCTCTTACGATCCTCCTTATCGACTATCAATGGCCACATACGAATATAGAGGTCTGGACAGGGGGTCTTCTGAACAGAAGACATTCTCAAAGTATCCAAGGGAGAATGAAGCCCTCCGTTCGTCAGCAAGAACGGTTGCTTCAGCATTTACTGACGAGATCCTGCACGCTCTTAATCCGAGGAAGTTTTCCATGCTAGTTTTCATTCTGTTTAATGGA